TACCGCAAAATTTGCAGGGCTTTTTGATTTTTTCAGTCAGAATCAACGTTTTGTGATTCCTTAACATGGATAGACATTAAAGAAGCTGATAGACCTTACGAAGTCTCTCTGTCCGTCCGTCGTAAGCAACACCGGAGCCTAAACTATTCGTGCCCGATCGATCTGGCTCGAGATTCAGACCTGAGATTTTGACACAATGACCATAACATGACAACAATGACACTTAAGTTTTTTTCTTTAAATTCCATGGCAGAATACACACACACACACTATATATATAAATGCATAAATTGGCATGCATATATAGTCTGCATAGTTCGTTGCAGTAATGTGAATTTAAGCTTCGGCGGGTCTCATCCTCTCCTTTGAACCCCTACGCGCGCAACGCATACAACATTGCCATGCGCAGATTAATATTTCTCAAGCACGTGATATTCGCACGGAGTAATACAAGAGTAATACAAATCCGCCTCTGCTTCAGCACAAAGACATGTGCTGATGGATTATGTGGATTGTGGATGATGTTAGGAAGAATTTACATCATGACATGCCGTCTAATGACGCTGACAAGTCTGGATTAAGTAAACCACCTTCTTCCCCGCGACGCAGCTCTTGGCAGGGGGGAGGCTAACCCTGCTCTCTCAAGGCCGACGTCAGAGGCGGAAGTGCTAAACTATTGATGGACTGATTAGTGATTCGCTCGCTGGCGCCGCCCTACGTCGACTTGCGTGCATTTCCCACACCAGGTATCTCCCACCGCTCCAGCCGCGACAAGCAATAAACCGATCCCCACCGATCTCCCGGCATGTATGGTAACGCAAATGCCTAAAAGTGTAAACAGACTATGCTTCGCGCGCTGTCTTTTCTTTCTCTTTGTTTGTTTGGGAACCGCTCCATCATTCGCCCAGAAAACGTCCGATCTGAGCTCCCGTCCGAGAGATTTCTCCCCAGAGAGCGGCTGATTTCGACCTAGCTCACAAGCTTCAGTCGAAAATCTAGCCACCGTCGAGCTTGCAGTTTTGGCCGCGGGTTTCCCATTCGGCGCCACCGTGCGGCGACCGAGCGAGGCCGGGGGCGTAAAAGGAGGGGAAGCAAAGGGCGAGGCGCGAAGCAGGTGAAGGGAGGGCGGCGAACGGCGTGTGAAGGGCGGAGTGCGGAAGAGCTGGGGAGCCAGCCGCTTCCGCCTGCCAAAGACCGGCCCCCAGCAACCCGCCACACATACGCGTGTTGCGGGCTGCGTAACCAGGCGCTCCAAGCAACTCCACGAGCTCACACTACATGGAACAGATGCGAAATACAAACACAAAGTACTTCTATATGAAGAGAATATCAGATTGTAAAGGCATTTGTTCGGTTGATACTGTCTGATATATAATATCTAACTTTTGGAAGAAAGAAGTTTACGCAACTTTTCTTGGCTGCTTGCAAATTTGAGCGCCATACAGTTTGATCTAATGTGGCAATGAAGTTTTATGTCTTGTGTCCTTGATGGCGAAAAATTTCTTGACTGCAAAAGTCGTTGTTTGTCAGTCCGTTTGTTATTACATTAACTAAAGTACAGTATTGAAGATTAGAGATTTTTTTACTAAATGGAATATGTTCTAAAAAATCAGATATTTAAAAAAAAAGCCCGTGTACAATTATTAGAAAGCAACGAGAACCTTTCTCATAAAATCTGCTTGAAGTTAATGTAATTTAATATATCTTGACGAAATATTTTCCCATTATTTTCTTAAGTAATAATTTTCTACAGTGCTGCCCAATCACACAAAACGTATATCCTGGAAAATCATTCGAAAATTTCTTTACATTTCATTTCGTTGGAAAGGTAAATATTTAATCGTTACCTTTCGTGGAGGTAATCGTTTTACGGGAAATACTACACTATTCCACCATTTTGTCCTGACGTGATCTCAATCTGCATCGTGCACTCTATCTTGCACCGCAATCACTCTGTACTCAGACGTGATGTGATTATTTTCATCACAGGCGAGGGGTTTGCCGCATTGGTCGCCCGTGGCCTCCAACAAAGTTCAGAATTCCGTTGTTTTATCAATTTATTCCATTGCCAAATTCTCAATATTGCAATATACCTACTGAACAAAACAGTTATGTGGTATGTATTGGATAAAATGCACCAGTGTTTAGAAATACAGGTTCTTATTTAAGAGAGCGGCACAAAGACAGAAAATGACAAAATTAAATGCGAACCCAGAGTTTGAAAATGTTTTGTCACGGGATTGTTAATCGCTTTACGCTACGCTCTGCAAAAATGTCAGTAGACGAAAGACTTTCTCGCGAGTGTGGTTCCGTCTCTATCTTTGCTCTTTCTGTCTCTGTTTCTCTCTGTATGTCTGTCCGTCCCTCTCTCTCTCTGTCTCTCTCTCTCTCTCTCTCTCTCCCATCCCCCCCTCTCTCTCATTCTTTTTGTTACTCTCCCTCTCTCCCTCTGCGTCTCTATCTCTCCCTGTATCTGTCTTGGGTTTGCGTTGTATGGAAGGTGACTCAGAATCCCCTTCCCCTTGAATTTCTTCAGGAATGCCGAGATTTTGTTGGCCGTATGAGGTCCAGCGATCCAACTTGACCTAGCCGCGTATGCCTGTGCAGAAGGGAGTCGACCCCTAAGAACACCAGATCAGAGAGCACCGGGAGAGCTGGCATAGGGCATCCACTGATGCCACTCCTCTGAGCGGGACGTTCGAGGTTCGAGTCTCGACGGAGGCAGGATTTTCGAAAGTACCTTCGATACTAAGTAGAATTTAGTCGCTGTCTGGAGAAGAATTCTAGCGGCCGGATGCTCTGTCCGGACGTTTTGCGTAGTTACCCATCAACACCAGGTGAATGCCCTAACAAACGATCCACGGACCGCGCACGATCCTTCCTTCCCCTTCCTTGACATATCCTCACCCCTTACACACACCTACACTAACATGCACTATACTAGCACACAGGCCGGGAGACCAGTCGGGATCTCAGAGCTCGTCCCGGCTGGGCCACGCCGCTGGGAGATACCTGGGAGGGGAAACCCCCGCTAAGCGATCTCGCCACACAGCCAGAGAAGATCACCGCCCCCTCCCCCGGTTAGAGAAATACTACACTTACGGGACTAGCGGCCTTATCAGCAGACGCGCCCATACTCACTAGCAATCAATCAGACGAAAGCTTGCTCGGCGGCGCTCGGGTGCGCGTTGAAGGGGCGTGGGCGTGGGCGTGGGCGCTGGGCACCCCTGCGTGGGCGATCAATAGGCGCGCGCAATCACACCACGCGCCGTTCGGCGCCTCCGCCCGGCGCTCGCTGCGCGGGAAAACCGCCCCGCCGCGGCCCACACCACGCGCGCCCACGCCCACACGCACCTGTGTTGCCACTAGGGAGCGGATTTCCACGATTCGGCGTATCTTTGTCTGTTGCTGCAAGGCACAGCTAAGTGAAACTTCTCGACATTTGGTTGGAATTGGATGCGAAGTACATTAAAATGTTAGTGGATATTTGACCGCTGTTTCTTTTGGGTGCACATCCCTGTAATTTCAGGCGCATACTGCATATTTCATGAAAATAGAGACTTCTTGATAAGACGGAAGAAGATTTGCAGCCAAATTGTCTGTGCACCTTCAAGAATGCACCGTGGATGAGGAATATGGATATTTTTCGATATTCAAGACCCCATTGGCAGAAAATCTCCAGGCTTTTGCGTTTGGCAATATGTGTGTAGTAATATACTATAAAGCAGTACTGAAATTGTAAAACTAAAGTAAACTTGTAAGATGAAAATACATAGACGATAAATTATTTCGATTTCTTCTCTTCTGAAGATAATAAAATATTGTGCAAATGCAGGGCATTTCTTGACAGATTCTTTTAAACCAGGCAGAGGAAATGCAACAAGATGTACTACAATGTACTTCACTAAGGTGAATATTTACTTCAATAATTTCTTTTTAAACTTAAGGTACATTATATCATGTTTGCACAAAAATATACCTTTTTATTCCAAGTATGCTACTCTTGATATTTTTTCAAAGACGTTTCATGAAGAAAGTGAACCATTGTTAATTTTAAGAGCATATTTCAGAATATTTAGGTCGTGCATATGTTTGCATAATTTTGGTAAGATGCATGTTTTTAAAAATATATTTCAGATTTTTAGAGAATAAATATCCTCTCCGTAGTAATCACAGCGTGATTCCCATAGTTCAGCCTCACACGGAATGCAAACCATGTCATTCGTTGAATGAATAATTAAATTCTTAAATACTTTTGACATTTTATGAGCCTAATTTTGGCGACTAAAACGAGAGCCTTTAAGGCGCCAAACTCTACAGACCAGAGATCACCAGCTCAGGAATGGAGAGGTCAGCAAATGCCAAAGCCTGTCCTCTCAACTACACTAAGAATGAGTATGAAACATTATAAATATTTAAACCTCAATGGTAATGTTTGTGGAGCAATACACAATGTACAATGCAGTTTATGTTCACTGTAAATAATGTCCTTGCATTGCAGGCAGTAAAAGTTATCAGAAACATTTATTTTCACACACACACACACACACACACATACACACACACACAAACAGCAGTCGCGGACAACCAATTTACAGTACGTAATCAGTACTGTGATAAACAACAAACACTGCATGATATGTATCACACCCAAACTGCAAACCATTCTCTTCTGGGAAGTTATTAAATAATGTAGAAACTGCTACTCTCCACTGCATATTATTTCAAACTCAGAGTATCGTGTAATAGTTATTATCTACGATGTTTTATGAAGCTCTAAATGACACGACACTTAATAACTTGTACCGCAAACTGCATTCACATTATAAAATTTTATTACAAATTATTCTAGTGATACAGCTTTTGGAGCAATTTCATTACTATTCCCCGCGCTGTTACAGCACGTCTAAATCCTCTGTGTAAATGAGAATTAACGTTAAGCAGCTCGGAATTGAAGATATTGAAATCTAAAAAATATTTTTGACAGTTCGTATTCACACTTTTGACGTAAAAGGAAGTTTTTTTTTTTTGAACATCGACTCTTGTCCGCGGTAAATATATTAGTTTCTTTTTTTTTTCGTTCAAGAACATTTCTACTCTATCATTAACGTCTGTTTTTCAAAAACAAAATATTACAATGCAAGTATTACGGGTTAAATCAAACTTTGGCAATTGTTTTATACGAGAAATGAAATTACAATTTTAATTTGTGTAATTAGGGTTCACAGCACGATTGTGGATTTCTCCATTAATAGTTCGCTCACATTTATGACTCAATAACATAGATAACCCTGGATCAATGCAGTACCAGCATTCAATACGAACAAATGGTGTAGCCATTACTATTCCACCTACTACTATTCCACTATTAATCCATCACTACACCATATACAGCCAGCGCATCGGACGCATATTTATTCCCCAAGAGAGAAGCTCCTGACGGCGGCCTCTGAGGGCAGGGAAAACAACAACTTTTTTACAGAGCAAACGCGAAGAGGAGTCCATCGACAAGTAATGACAAAGATTTGACTATCACAACTTCTTTATTACCGTGTTTCTCAAGTGTTTAGGTATGTTTTGATTTTTGCTTTTCTTTACAAATGAATACTTTTCCCCCCGCATCTAGAATAAAACTACGATCTAATCCCCAAAGTATTGAAGTAAAAGGTTTTTGGTGCTATAAAACGTATATTCTTTCAGCCAGTTCTGAATTATCGTCTGCAGAAGATAAGCTTTACTGGATGATTCATAGCATCGTCCAGTATAGCCCGAGTAGGCCATCAAACTGACAATACCAAGTGGAAATTATTAGCATAGACGCTATCTTATTCGACAGAAGAAATTCTGCAAGAAAGGAACTGCTTCATTATGCCACCGATTCGTTTTCGTCTTGACTCACTCGCCCTCTCAGCTGCACTGGGGATCAGGCGAGTGCAACGGCGACCTTGACCTCAATATCCAACTAGTGCGAGTGAACAAAAAGCAGCCTCAACACATCAACATGGAGGAGGCGCAATGAGTGATCTTCCACAGGCGCAGAGCCAAGTGCTCGGCGGAGTGGCTAATTGTTTGCTGAGACATTATTGCTTATTATTGTCTTCGATTCGCAGATCGATATTCACTGCACATCTTGACTGGATGGCGACGATCGCGGTGATGAGGGAAACAACTCAGTTGAATGATGCTTTGTGTTGTCTTACAGAGGGATTAATGAAAGGGAATTATGAAATGAAAAACATTTAGTTAACCTTTAGTTAATTAGTAAATAAGTGAATCTGAATCAATATTATTCCGTAAAAATAAAATCATGTATGTACCATAGACGTTGAGAGGTTTTAATGATCTCGAGCCAAAAGCCCTTGATCATTAGAAACCTATAACGCCCTTCGTGCATAAATGACTACCACATTTTCGAATGTGCTCATGAAGACGACGGCAAAGATCTTTTGATTAACTGATAGAGTTATTCGGGTGCGACAACGGCTAAGATCATTAATCCCATAAGTGTAGTGCATGTTTCTTGACCGCGGGAGGGGGTGGTGATCTTCGCCGCTGGAGAGCGACATCTGGAAACGACCTACACGCCGACTAGGGGATTTTTCCTAATCAGGTATCTCCCACTAGCGGGGCACCGCCCCTGCCGGGACGAGCTCTAAGCTTCCGACCGGTCTCCCGGCACGTGTAGTGCATGTTAGAAAAAGTGTGTTTAAGTAACGGGGGAATACAGGAGGAGGACGAAGAGAAGATGGCCCGTTTGTTATGGCTCTGCTCCGGACAGCGGCTGAAGCCAGAAGCTATGCAGCTAGTGTGGAAAGTCGTGCCTCCGCCGGGACTCAAACCCTAGAACCCCCGTTGGCAGGCACACACTCCCTGCCACCCTCGCGTGCTCTCCACAGCTGCCGGCCCCCTCGCACGCGCTCTGCGCACGAGGGAGGGGGAGGGGGAGGGGCAGCGGGAGGCCGAGAGCGCTTTGAGGCGCAAATTGCTTAGAGGATCGGAATTCGGAGGCGCCACCGGTCGCACTCCGCCTGCAACTCATTGCTTTCCTTCTTCAGTAGCTTTACACTACCTCAACGATGCTGCGCTGGGAAATGATAAGTTACAGAATTTCTCTTACATGTTTAAAATTAATATTACAAAATACTTGGACCGCACCACACAAAGTACAACATACAAGCCTTTCAGAGCTTCCTAATCAATCTGTTTTCTTTTTATTTTCTCTCATCAAGAGGTGCCATGTTTTTGTTTTCTCCCACTTCGCCAATCTTTACGTAATATATTAATGTACAAAATACTTCAACACAATTATTCAGAATTCTTGCTCCGACAACGGATATGTTCAATAAAAACTTCCGTTCAAACGATTATTCTGAGTTTCCGTCACGACAACCGCTACCGTCGTGGGTTCCGTAAGTGTATTGCATGTTTGATCTCGGAAGGTACCAGTGTTGTTCTCCCGTTAGTACAACGAATCCTGCCCCTATACACACATCGGCTCGCAGTGTTTCCCCATCCAAGAATATCCCACCAGCGGGGCTCCGCAGCAGCCGTGACAAGCTCTAAGCTCCCAAATGGCCTCCCGGCCTATGTGGTAGTGTAGTGCATGTTAGTGTACGTGTGAGTAAGGGGAGAAGATAGGAAGAGGTAGGAACGATCGCGCGCGGTCCGTGGCCCGTTTGCTAGGGTACTGCTCCGGCATTCGCATGGTGCAGATCAGAGAAAAAACGAAAACTGCGGATCAGAGCAGCCAACCGCTACAATTCTCCTTCAGGGGGCGCGTGCGCAGAGCAGGGCGCGTGGGCGTTCTCTAAATTCAAACGCAGGTTTTCTGGCTTCGGGGTGAGGCAGTTAGCGGGTGGGTGTGTTACACCGAAGTTTTCGGGTTCAAACTCGATAAAAGCCGTGGATTTTTAAATGCGAAAAGTGTCCTTCCTACACCTTCCTTCGGAGGGGAAGTAAAGCCGGCTATACCCTGCAGTAGATTTACTGCATGTAAAAGATCCTGAAGCCTCCGAGTTACATTTAAATCGCCTGTTTTAAGGACCCTTTATCTCCGCTAGATGGCAGACTGAGAGCAGACAGTTTCGTATCATGAAATAAGGCATCGTTGAATAGAATGCAATACACTTCTAGACTCATTGCCTTTGTTTGAGACTAATGAACTATTCTGATACCAGAAATAGCTTACACTGTTCTTCATTAAATTATATATTTACTTTTTTCACATTAATGATTTTTTCTAATTCAGCAAGAAAAAATGTCATCTCGTACAATTTCTTGTGTCACTATTTAACAAAATTGAAATAAAATGGCAGTTTATTCGAGTATTACATAATGAGAATTTCTATCCACTATTCGCGTGACATCAATTGATGCCCTGAGTCATCTATACCGGTCAAACGGCATTCAATAAGAACGGAGTTACATTCCTGTAGATCCCAATTTGTGTTGATACATATTACAATACTTAACCAGGCAGATTGTTGCTTAGAGAGGGCGTTGGTTTCGGGGACACGTGTTCTCCCAATCTGCCGACGTTTATCTTCGAAGAGAGGGCGTCTTGGGCGGAGTTGCTTCTGTTTTCGTCATTACTCTATGACCTTCGCGGCCCCAAAAAGACAAGAATGGCGTTACGTCAACACTTCTTCTTGCTTTGCATTAAATCGTTCAAACAGATACAGACTCAGCCTTCGCTGCAAGATCATGCTTTACCGGCAAATATCTTTGTGTTAAATTTCTCCTCTGGATCGCACATTTCATGAGTTTTACCGCCGACGTTTCTTCGTCACTGACATTGGCTGAAAACGCCTCAATTCTCGCAGTGATCGCGACTCCATTCGCCAGCAGCAGTCAAAATTGCACTTGAGAGGCCAACGTCTCGACTCGTGGCAGGGGAGAGTGCAGCTCAAGTGACTCTTTGGTTAACGCACACCCTTTCGAGTAGGGCCCTCATGAGATAGCAACGCTTTCTTGCAACACAAGCAGTAATAATAATCAATGAATATAAGTGAAAAAGTTTTTAAATAATTACGTTATTTTATATTTATCAGATTAAATGGATTTTAATTTTACTTCTTCTGTTTCAAACTCCTCAAACTGTTTCAAACTTAAACTCTTTTCAGAGGAATGTCAAATTAAAGATTTCAAATGCCGTTTCAATTTCAATACTGCCTTAACGGAGTTCAGAACATTTATTGGAAAACTGTACACGAATGGTATCAGAAAAATGTATCTGACTTTGAGTGTTTAAAAGGCAGCCCTATAATATAACACACAATACAACAGAAAGATAGACTCGATAAATCTACTCTCCACCACGCGTAAATGACACACCTCACCACTGTTGAAAAACTATTTCAAAGAAAAATTGGCATACTCTTCTAGATTTGCAGTGGGTGACAAGCAAAGGCAATTATATAATATCCACAGATTTTACCAAGACAAACGTAAATCACAAAAAAACGCAAGATTTAAACATACAAAATATGACAGCCAGGACCTCGCTTTTCACGTTTTAGACACATTTTAGAAGCTCCCTGAACAGTAAGATGTTTGTAATAATCAATGCCTCTACGCAGACTTGAAAAACGTCATCGGACGCAAGATCCGTGATCGAGCGCCTTGGTTGTCCCGGGGTCAGCAGTCGTTGGCACAGACGAGGTCGTTTCGGCCGCCACGCTGCGACCTTCTTCAGGGCGAAACGCTGGCCCTGTGCCCGACTCGCGGCTCCTCGGCGCTGCCTCCGGCCGCGGACGCCCACGCGCTCCTCCCGCGAGCGGCCATTTCGGCGCATTTCGCCCCCGGGGAGGTCGCGGCACGAACGGCCGGCTGAGCTGGCTCAGGGCGACAAGTGATGTTACAGCTCTGACTGGGAGGGCCTAGCAATCTCGGCTATCCGGATAGGCCAAATTATTATTATTATTATTATTATTATTATTATTATTATTATTATTATTATTATTATTATTACTTATAACATTAATTATATTAAATATTACAGAGTTACAGCGTCGATGTGCTTGTGCTATGTGCGCGGGGTGGGGGAGTTCAAAAATGTTTACTTGGCGACTTTCTGAAAAGCGCCTTCCGTCCTTCTTT